TGAAAGGTCAAAGTTGGATGTTAAAACTAGGCAATGTATCTTTGTTGGTTATGGTCAAGATGAATTCGGCTATCATTTCTTTGATCCGGTTGAGAAGAAACTTGTTAGAAGCCGTGATGTTGTGTTCTTTGAAGACCAAACAATTGAAGATCTTGACAAAGCTGAGAAAGTTAACTCTCAAAGCAGTGAAAGCCTAGTTGATGTTGATCCAGTTCCTTTGACTATTCCACCAGGTGAAAATCTTCAAGTTGATATTGAAGATGGTGATCATATTCAGAATGACCAGTATGACATTGATGCTCCAGTGCAAGACGATGTAGTTGGTGAGGAACCAACTATTGTTGATTCTCCCGAGAGTTCTCTCTGAAGATCTACTAGAGAGAAAATACCTTCATCTCATTATTCTCCCAATGAGTATGTACTCTTGACTAACGAAAGAGAACTAGAGAGTCTTGATAAGGCCTTGGAAAGTGAAGAAAAAGAAATGTGGTTTGATGCTATGGAGGATGAAATGAAGTCTCTATATGATAATCATACCTTTGATTTGATTTTGTTACTTAAAGATCGAAAAGCTTTGAAAAATAGGTGGGTTTTTCGGGTGAAACATGAAGATGGTAACCCAGTTCCATGGTACAAGGCTATATTAGTTGTGAAGGGCTTTAACCAGAAAAAGAGAATTGATTTTGATGATATATTCAATCCAGTTATGAAGATATCATCTATCCGTATTGTTCTAGGCTTGGCTGTAAGTCTGGACTTGGAGGTTGAACAGATGGATGTTAAAACTGATTTTCTCCATGGTGACTTAGATGAAGAAATTTATATGGAGAAGTCGGAAAGTTTTGAAGTCAAGGAAAAAGAGAATTATGTTTGCAAGTTGAAGAAGAGCTCGAACGGTCTAAAACAAGCTCCCAGGCAATGGTACAGGAAGTTTGGCTCTTTTATGAGTCAGCAGGGCCTCAAGAATTATGAGAACATTGGAATGTTGTAAAGTGAATTATGAGATATCTTTGTGGCACTTCTAGTCTGAGTTTGCGTTTTGGGATAGGGAAACCTATTCTTTGTGGTTATACTAATTCAGACATGGCCGGTGATATATACCAAATTATAACCAAATAAATTTTTAAAAATAGATTCTTAAAGTTAATTTTTTATTATGTATTTAAACCTACATTGGTGTAAAAAATGATTTAAACAAAAAAAAATGAAGAGAAAGAAATAAAAAAAACAGAGAAAATTTTCAACAAATAAAATGGGGTAAAAAATGATAAAAATAAAAAGAAAGGAGAGAAGAGAAAGAAATAAGAAAAGGGGAGAGAAAAAAAAATTTAAAAAAAAGGTGGAGAGAGAAAAAGAGAATCTGTAAAAATATTAAGAGTGATAGTGAGAATAGATATTTTAGGAAGAAAATATTTTTAAAAAGAGTATTTTAAGGGATAAACAACATTTGTTTTTTTAACCCTTTATAATATTTTAGTATTTTCCGTTTTTATTTTTATTTTTTTCTAATTTTATTCTGTTTTGTAAAAAAATTATTGTTATGTTGGTGAAAAGTCAAACTTGTTATATAGGAGTAATTTGAATGCTTAAATTGTATATTTAAGTTTGGGAAAATGCATAAGTACCTCCCCAGCCTATGCCCGAAATTCCAGAGACACACCTAACCTTTACTAAGGTCCTATTACCCCCCCCCCCCACGAACTTAATTTATCTATAATATTCTACCCCTTTTCGGCCTACGTGGCACTATCCTCAAAAAAAATGTCAACATGCGTTGGGCCCACAAGACAGTGCCACGTAGGCCAAAAGGGGGTAGAATATTAAATATAAAATATGTTCGGGGGGGGTAACAGAACCTTAGTAAAGATTAGGTGTCTCTGGGATTTCGGGTATAGGCTGGGGGGGGTACTTATGCATTTTCCCTTTAACTTTTTTGCCTTTTTTTTATTATTGTTTTATTCATCGTCATATTATTATTCACTGGTGAAATAATAAAGACCAAAAGAGACTTAATAGAGTTACATTTTGATAGGATTGAAGAAAACTCAATAGCCCATGTATATAAATATTCCCCCTATTCCCCCTGAATTTGTTCCGAAAAGTCAGTTAAAAGCTTAAACTATTGTGATGACCTATTACATACCTAATCTTATTCAAAGTGATAATAATACCCTCTTAGAAGGTGACATGGCACAAAAAATGTCTTCACCTTCCTTAAGGTGTGTCGGAGGAAAATAATTTATGTTAAAATGACAAGTTTAAACACGGGCACTATTTTATTGGTCATTATATAATTAAGTTTTATAATTTCTAATATATTAATTATGTCCTTTTTTTTTCTTTTTATTGGCGACCCCAATTTCTTTAAAGCTTTTACATTTTTAATTTTTTTAAAAAAAGTTCTTCTTCTTTACAAACTCTTTATCACCATTGATGATTTCTTCAAATATCCATCACTCTATCTTAAAAAGGAACTCTAAATAGAAGTAAAAAATAGTGGGGAGGATGTTGATTTCCACCGAAAAGTTGATAATTTTAAATTAAGGTTCATGATTTTTATTCGAATTTGCCGGAAGATTCATTGGAAAACAACGCCAAAAAAAATTATGAGAAAAATAATGGCTTCTATTGAAAATCCTATGACATTTATGCACAAAATTCATGTTTCATTGCCTACATTTTTCAAAATTCATAGAAGAAAATTATTTTCTATCTCTGTCTTCTTTATTCTCGCCGGAGCACCACCCACAACCATCACAATGTTATTTTTGACTCAAGCCATCAATAGCATATTTGATTTTACACACAAAGAATACTAATGAAATGCTTGATTTTCATCCATAATTATCAAGATTTCAAAAGAACTTTCACAGATCTGAAAGTTTTTATTTGTTTCACCGGCAACAATGGTGTTGCCCACTGCCTATCGTCACCGCCAACATCACTAAACTTCATAATCGTCTTATTGTCTCGTGTTCTCTCTTCAAATTTCTTGTTTTCCGTTCAATTTATGAATAATGAAGAACAAAGAAGAAATGGATTTTAAGAAGAAAGAAATGTAAGGTGAGAGGAGGAAGAAAGGTTTCTACTTTTGCAAAAGTCTAAGAAAATATTAAGCAAAAAAGGTTTAAAAAATTAAAATAATCTTATTTACGTGTCAAAACGCGTGTATAACATATTTTCACACAAAAACTAGTATTGTCTTTGGAAGGGGGTATTACTTTCACTTTAAACAAGATTGAGTGTGTAATAGATCGTCATGATAGTTTAGGCGTGTAACTGACTTTCGGAACAAGGTCAGAAGAAAATTTATGTCTTTTCTCTATTATTCTCCATATAATAACCATTTAGAAAGTTGAGAACACATAAAAAGTAAAAATCGAACCAAAAATTGAATCAAATCGCAAATCGAGTCAAACCGAAAAAAAATCCAACTAATGGTTTAGTCTAACTTTGTTTGGTATTGGAAAAATAAACCCGATTATACTTGGGTTGGCTTGGTTTTAAATTAAAAAAAAGTCAATCCGAGACCAAACCAACCCGACATTATATATATAATTTTTAAATTTTATTTTATACATAAAAGTATTTACTTTGATGTAATTTCTAAATATTACTTATACATTTTCATAATTTTATCTTTTAACATATTTTTTCAAGTTTTTTAAGACTTAGGATTTTGAATGGTCCAATAAAGGTTATAGTCCATAGATATTAGTAACTCTAATAAATCTTAATTCAAAATCAAATTAATATTGATGCTAACAAAATAAATTAATTTAACACTAAGAATGACAATAATGTTGAATATGTTCTTTAGTTTTACATTGGTTTAGACATTTAAACTAAATAACCTAATTTTAATTTTTCTGTAATGTTTAATCATGTAATTAATACTTATTAGACTCAATTTAGCATGATTTAGTACTTTTAAATTATGATCATTTTTATTATGACTTATCAATTTGCAATATTTATTTTATACGATTTCATTATTATTTTTTATTGAATATTTTAGTGTCATCACTCATCTCATATTTTGTGTTATTTTCTTAAGAAACATCTTTGATAGTTGAATTTAAGTTGGACTAAAGAAATATTTGTAGCACAAGTTACTTATATGTTTGTATGAATACTTCACCGGAAAAATCCAAAAACCCGAAAAAATTTGAGGTTTATTACTTTGGTTTGATTTAAAAAATTAAAAATTCAACACAAATGATTTGGTTTGGTATTTGAAAAACCCGAACCAACCTGAAAAATCCGAAGTTGAAAAACTCAAATTTTATTAGTTTGGTTTGCTTTATAAATTTTAAAAGTTGACACAATTGATTTGGTTTGATATTTGAAAAACTCAAACCAACTCAGTCATGTACATACCCCTAGTGTAGGGGCTCCATTTGGGGGAAAATGCTCTCTACCAAAGATTTTTCTATATTCAAGATTCAAACTTGAGACCTATGATTAAGGAGGAAAGCCCCATCAGCTGCACACATCCTTTGATGATGTCTTTTCTAATGTTTCTTCTATTGCTATCTGGAAAAAATATATATAATTCAAATTCACTATTTTTGTGACACTTTTACGATGAAATTGATGCAATTTGAGTTATACATTGAATTCTAAAGAATAATAAATATACATTGAAGATTTTATTTTTTAATATGAATTTGGGCCTTTAATTAGATTAAGCTCAAATACGCGTCTTTTGTAGTATAACTAATATTGTGCAGAGGTATATGCTCTAAACAAACTAAGATTTGTAACATAGGAATTAATCCAAATGTATGTCATTTATCACAAGCATAACTTTTCTAATAAAAAGAGGAATTCATTCTAAAATAGCCATAGAACTCAATTATTTTTATTTTCAAGGAACTTATTTTCTTAAAAATATTGTTTCTCAAAATATTGACCAACCCAATATGAAAACATCAAAGAAAAAATTCATCCCAACCGCAACAAACCCAGGAATAAAAACAAAAAGGAGTTTTGTCCACTTAATTGTCAAAGAAGGTTCTTATCAATTAGCACATATTACTTTCGTCATTGTTTGTAGGGTGTTTAATCTAGCATTTTCACTAAAAATCTTAAATAGCAAGTCGCTGATTTATATTACATCAAGACATCGATGCTAGTTCGATATGGATGTACATAGTGCATTGCAGAATAATGACATCCACTGATACAGATTCCTAATAATACAAGACATGAACTGAGCAGGTAAGTCTGGGAAAACAGCCTTTCTTTGATGCTAGTTCAATAAATAGAGTGTTAACCGCAAAATATAACAGCTAAATCGTATTTCTTAAGGGCATTTTCTTTGAACGTAAGATGCCCCATGCTCTTCGTACCTGTCATTAGCATAAACCAAAAGGTGTATTCACTAAGAGAACTATAGTTATAGCAAATTCGCGATGCTACTTTAAAGGATACAAAACAAGTGTAGTATTGTATTCAAGCCTAAGAGAGATGTAAAACTTACTCGGACTTTGAAAACCACATTTGTTGAAAGGAACCAAGAGATGCCAATATGCTGCCCCCTATCCAAACACTGCACAATAACTTGTTAGTTCACTCGTGTGAAGAAAGCTTCTCCCCAATGCTAAATGCAAGAACCCATCATTTATGTCGTATATCATCATCAAAAGCAGTTAAAATAAATGGAAGTATGTTTACTGCTTTCTCAACTCTCCAATTAAATGGGGAAGGGCAGGGGAGACCAAAAAACAAGATACTTGAAATTGTACTCTCGCAAAATGTAGTCAGCTTAAACTTAGAAGTAACAAATATGGGGAGAAGTCCAACCCAGTCCGTGAATGTTGTTACATCCAGATGAGGAGTACAAAACACACTTTATACACTCAACATCAAAAGGAACTATTACCATGAAGAGAAACTGAGAAACAGTAAAGAGAACTACAGAGTAATAATTTAACCTGAATCTCCTTTCTGTAGCATTTCCACTAGCCAGTACTTTGACTCTCGCTGCCTGAGGAGACTCCTGGAAGAAGAGCATACAAGATACAGACTTAGGCTATTCAAGCTAAGGAGATAAAATGAGAATGCTATCCTTGAACACAATTGCGTGCATGAATGAAGGATGGTTAAGATTCAAAAGGGAAACGGCACCTCTAGCAAGTCCTTCTCCAGACGTTCTTTGAGTTGTTGCATCGATGATGTTCCCCCAGCAAGCTGTAGTGGACAGTGTAGTCAAACTAACATCTCATCTAAAGTTTCAAACTCAAATAGACAAAATAAAATAAGTCTAAGGAAATTCATATGCTCTTAGTGGGTACATGACCGAAGTTAATTAATCCAGTGATAAATTTGAATATTGGTTCTAATCTCCTATTTTGAACTTTCATATTGTTATTCTTTACATAGTAATTTTTATGTACTATGGCATAAGGAGCATCAGTCCAGTTTTAAAATTAAAGTCACTTAGTCATGCAGTTTCCATACTCTTCTCCTTAAGGAAGCATCCTCTCAGCTTTAGTGCATACAATGTGAAAATGAGGATTTGAATGAATTTACTTTGTCAGGTGACTTAACAAGTATTACAATGTAAACAACGAAGGAAAAGAAGGGAGGCACACAAAAAAATGGAATTGATGCCTCATCTTTAAATAGATTGCAAGAAATACTGATGGCTTTACCAATATACTGCTAAAAAGCTCTCTCCGAATATCCACATCGCACTTGTTTATGCTATCTATAACCTGAAAAGTTTTGAGTACAATTACTAATTGAAAAAAAAAAAGAGAAGGCGAAAGAAGAACATTTTGATGGACTCATGTCCTTAACCGATATTTTATCTATACGGAAAAATTTGAGAGAGAAAGGACCAACCATTTGTGGTAGACCACGAAGGGAAGCAGCAGTTTCAGCAAAACTTTCCATACCGGGAATAGTCTGTGACATCAGTAAGGAAAATACCAAAGTAAAGACTAGATATATGAAGGATCTGAAGGAGCTAGCTTGAGATGGCAGAGGACAGATTTTCTGAATAACAGGTATTTTTAAGCAGACAGAACATTACTGCATTTGAAAACATATGATAGTATACAGAGAAAAAAAAACACAAGAAATATTTTATCAGAAGTCATTACAGATGGATATCTCTATCTTTGGCAATGGAACAAATAATCTGAATCTCAAGGTGGAGGGGTCATGGAACATAAAGTGTCACCCTAGAAACATCCCACTATTGTGTGATCTAAATATTATAAACTTTTCAGTGAACATTTGAAATACAAGGAAATGAGATGCTACTTTGAAAAGGTTATGTCAAACCAAATTGTGTGAACAATACTGGAGGTATGCAAATCAGCACAGTGAAGTCCATAAACCTCATTTACTATCAAAATAATCCTTAAAATATAGTTCTCATCCATTGCAATGGAAAAAACCCAGTTTACAGATCATACCAATGAGTGCTTCAGCTATAAGCACACCCTACTTCCGGAGGATCAATACATAAAAAGCAACAAATACAACAACAGAAGGGAGGCAAAGCAAGAAGCACTACAGATACAACATCTTAGGATAAACCTAAAAATACAGAATCCTGGAAAGAACAAGATGAAAGTGTACAAACAACAGTACACATCCATCCTACTCGCATAAGATCGGGAAACTGAACAAGAAACATGGATTTGGAAGACTAAAGCAACACCAACCTGAACCAATGATGGATTGAATAGAATATCAGGAATCTTGAATCTATCCGCTCCGACTTCTATCGTCCTGTGTCATAAAGCAACAAAATGTTAACCATAGTAAGGAATGCCACCCTACCACCCCCCCCCCCCCAAAAAAAAAAAAAAATCTCATTGACCTAATGGAATGAGTAAGAGAACAGTAATGAGTTCCTATATATGATATGAGGTCGCTAGATATTTTTATTTTTTTTGATGAAGTAGATATGAGGTCGCTAGATATTTAAGTAATATGAGAAGGTATTGTTGCATCAAATTCGAAAAAAATATGGACTTATAAAGTAATTCTATCTTCAGTTAGTATGGACTTAGCCAATTAAGGAAGGTGGTCTGTATGTTTTTGACAAGGCATAGGTTAATCAAAATAGGACACAGCAGCAACTCTGAAGTCTGAACAGATGAAGCCGAATAATCTTGGACAGAAAGATTACTAAAATAAGGCTTCGAGTTAATACCAAAAAAGACTCACATTACAAACTACTAAATGAAACTGTTCAGTTTTTGCATTTAGATCTTCAACCAAAGATTTCAAGGAAACTGAATCACTCATTCGTTAATAGAAACAGAGCAAGAGTACAACACTTACTGCCCGTCAGGTAGCTCATAAGATGTCGTTGGAATGTTCGAATATGAACTGTCTGCACGAAAGAGAGAAGCAGCATAATATTTTCAAACTTCAAAACAAACATACTTCATATAGAATAAAAAAAATTTAAAAGAAGTGAACACATACAAGAATTAAGCGTCATTAGGACTTGAAGCAATCTTAACTGTCATCATGAGCAAGAATATATACTCAAAAGGTCTTAAGACTGGCCAAAAGATATCAGTGACATTTTATTCTATGAGGAAGTTACTTTTTTTCACTTTTTCTTTTTCTATTTCCTTTTAGATAAGGGTATAATAGCTGATCCAAGGATTACAGAAGAGACAAGTCTTTCATTTCAGTCGACAACACATTATAGAGAGTTAGCAATATCTTCAGGGATCATCTCCTTTCACTACACTTGGATCAAGATTTCATAGCCTGTAAATTTCTCCTACATTGGGGGGAGATAAAAAAAATAGCTGAGAGGAGAAAGAAACCATCATATGGAGTATCTGGGGCTCGGGAGACGCATTCTTTTATGTCACTGGCAATCGCTCTCTGCAAAATAGAACAATACTGAGAAGCTGAGAGAAATAACAACTGAAGAAAGAAATGCTAAGAATAATTAACCTGACAATACAGCTTGTAACTCTCTGTTGTATCAGGGAAATCAAGGTCCACTGTCTGTGAAACAAATAAAATATCAGCACCAAATCTATCAAAACATCACAAGAATAAAGGCATAGGGCACAAAAGTGCTAGCAGACCATGCAAATCAGAAACTAATTGCCTATTTGCCAATGACAAAATAAGGCTTTCTATGATGGCCGGGAGATGCGACTGGCTAAAGAAGAACCATTATGTCTATGTTCAATGCAAACAGAATGAACTCTTCAGAAACAAAGCATGAAAGTTTTGAGCAAGAAAAACTTGATGCAGGAGAAAGCAATGACACCCAAGTACAATATCTTTGATGTAAGACAAAAGTTGAGCACAAATTCATTTTAAGTCACAATCAGGTTCTCACTGGCTATGTTGTAATCTGGTTCTCCTTTTTTTCTTGTATTGAAAAAGAAAAGTTGCGAAGAAACATAAACCTGAATACTTGAAAGTGTTAAACTTACAATTTATGTGAAGGATTAAACAATTAGACTGGTTATAGCACTGAAGCAAGGATGTGTTACCTGAAATTCTCCTGGACGGATCTCCTTCCGCTTGAATGAATACCTAGGTTTTATCTAGAAATAAACAGGAAAAGGAAAGAAAAAGTTTGTTACAAGACAAAGCGGATCATTGTATTCAAACAAGTCTTAAGGATAACTAACAATAAATATCTAACCGTAATGCCTTTCTGTTCCAAACTTTTTATCAAGCAGTCAGTAAGAATTCCTCCCCCAATAGGAGATGTACAAACCGCCTGTTATCAAATTAAAGAATTACAACATATCTATTCAATTAAACCAAAACAGAACTTTTTTATGAGTAATAAAGGAATATTATTGACGTAAAACAACCAGCATTAAGGAAATGCTGGGGCAAAGGTACATCAAAAGAGAACTTTACAATATAAGGAAAGAACTGAGAAAGTAAAATACAGCCTCCAGCTCTAAAACATGCAGTAGTATTGTTGCACCAGAGACTACAACCTAAACAGAACTTTGAGAAGTTGGAAACAATGCACAGAACATCTGGTGAAGATTTAACATCCATAACCACTTCACTTTTCCCTTCCTTACCGAAATAAAATGGATTTTACAAGTTCGTGAGCAGCTTAGACCCTGCCTCCCCAAGCAAAGAGAAGGGCAAATGAACCTGAACATGAAACCCTTTTTCTCCTTCTACCTCCCATAGACAAAAAAAAAAATACATCTTAAATTTTCATCTAGAGAGGCCTGCCCCCTTCAACACCTAAAATAGATTTGATCAATCCTCTTAAAAATAAGTCGAGTTTCCACCTTAGAATGCATGTCCTGGACTTTACTTCTTCTTCAATCTAGCTTACAATCTAGGGAAAAAAGTAGGAAAATTCTATGAATGAATAGTTGCTTAAAACTTCTATTCGAGGGGAAAATGCCAACCCAAAATGTCAGTTCTCTCAAAGAAATTCTAGTGAGCTACAACTTGAGGCCCTCAGTGCTTACCATGGGGAAGTACAAAAAGATATCATAGGCATTTGCTTCTTTCCTTCCTATTTTTTCTTCTCTCTTTTTTTTGAGTTTTGACAGTGAGGGGGAACGATTAGCAGATTCGGAAACGAAATAATTTGCTTCAGAGCAATTAAACAATTTACTGAAGCATGTCAGATATACAAACATTAATGGGAGATCTCTACAGTGTTAAGTGGAAGTCTGCTAATGCTAGGAAATAAACTATATAATTTCCAAAAGGAAGAAACTGAAAGAGGTCATAATACTGCAAACTGGAAGTAGATATCTTACAATAGATCAACAAAATAGGTAAAAATGATCATCCGTTGATCTCTTTTTTATGAGAAGGGAAACCCGCAGCTGCTACCCTTTGGGTGCGCACAAGGTAAAACCCCCCCCCCTCCTATGTTGATCTCTTTTGAACAGTCAAGTTCTTAACAGTCAGAAAAGCAAAAGAAAAAAAGGGGCAATAACACATTTAAGTAGTTAGTCTTTGTTAAGAGATACCTTTTGAAGAACGTATCCATCATGAACCGGAGCAACAGTAGTCAATCCTCCACCACTGAACCAATTAGTTCAGACATCTCTTTAGTAATGCTCAATAAACAACAAAGAAAAAACAGATGTATAAAAGTTAGCCGGGGGGGGGGGGGGTTATACAGATGAGAACACACAATGCATTCCTTTCCTAAGTAGAAACAGATGCAACTTGAAAAGAGAACTGTGCCCAGATCCAAGGCCATAGAAAAATGCCAAACATTCTTTAACAATTTAATAGAAGTGTAGAACACTGTATTCTAAACCAGATAACTTTTTTCCTCTAGAGTATTTCATTGGGTAATAAAAGTGTAGAACACTGTATTCTAAACCAGATAACTTTTTTTTTCTAGAGTATTTCATCGGGTATCTGCTATCTCCAACCGGATGACTTTGTCCACCAAGTTTAAGGTAGATGGGAAGAATCACCTATTATTTTTGTGTCTGCTGGAATTTGAACCCTGGTTTCGAAGGTTTGTACCCACTTTATTGACCACTAGGTCATACCCTTAAAAGTCATTTGATAACATGTGCTTTAATTTTGTGTCCATGATTAGACATTTGATGCGTAGTTGATTGAATGGATGATTCCGATGTCTGCACTCTATCATTCTTTCTAGAGTAACATTGTCTGAATTATGATTTTAATGTCAAAATAGCTTGCACACCTTTGAATATATCTAGATCTTATAAGTTGGAACAAAGGTACCAGATCATTCTACACCAGCCTCTCCAAGCACTTCCAGATCCCCAAGGGAACAAGTTTTTCTAATCTTCATATTTTTCAAGGCATCATTTACCTATGTCAGCCCAAGTCTACGAATATAATTGAAGTTTCTACCATGCACCAATGTGTGGATCTCCAAAATGTTATTTTCTTGGTTCGAGTGAACAATTGATAACAGTAACAACATACCCAGTCTAGTCCCACAGAGTAAGGTTTTGGAAAGGGTATGGTGTATGCAGACCTTACGCCTACCACAGAGGTAGACAGGTTATTTACGATAGACCTACGGCTCAAGAAAATACAATTCAAAGCAGTCCAGAAAAAGAATAAACAAAGGAGTGAAAGCATACCAAAGCATTCTGAACAATAACTACAACAAAATAATACGATAATTGAAGTATAAAAAACATGTGGTAACAAAAATCGGAAGACAAGAAACTACAATAGCAATACTACGACTACTAATATGGACAAATAGCAAGACAGCGCACTATTACCTAATAACCTCCTACCCTAATATGTGCCCTCCACAACCTCCTACCTCATGTCCTTGATAAGCCAAAATTGTGTCATGTCATGTCTATCAGCTCTCCCCACTACTTCTTCAATCTATCCCTACCTCTCCTGAAACCATTCATTGCCAACCTCTCACACCTCCGCACTTGGACATCCGTACATCTCCTCTTTACATGCCCGAATTATCAAATATCCTCATTTCTAATCTCATCTCTCCTAGTATGCCTACGCATCCATCGCAAGATCCTCATTTCTACAACTTCCATCTTTTGAACGTAAAGATCACTACTAGCCAACACTCCGCCCCATACAACATAATAGGTCTAACCACTACTCTGTAGAACTTGTCTTTTAGGTGGTGCAACCCTATCAAAATAGGAAAGTGCTCTGAGTCTCTTCATATTGTCTTTACACGAGTCTTAGTTACATCATACATGTCCTTGATTGTCCTAGAGTACATCACAAGTTCACCCCTAGCCTCCAAGCATCTCCATAGAATTCCTTTTAACTTTGTCGTAAGCCTTTTCTAGGTCAATGAACAACATGTGTAAGTCCTTCCTCTCTCTATTCTACTCCACTAGTCTTCTAACGAGATGAATGGCTTATGTAGCTGAGAGTCCCAACATTAAATCGAACTTATTCTCGAAAAGAGTCGCATCCCTCCTCGCCCTTATCTCCACCACCCCTTCTCAAACCTTCATAATGTGGCTTAGCGGCTTGATACCCCTATAGTTGTTGCAATTGTGAATGTCACCCTTGTTCTTGTACAACAAAATCATTGTAATCATTGTAATTAAGGAAGAATAGCCTTATTATATGACAAGGTAATAAGGATAAAAGATTTTTTACAGAGTCAAGTGGAGCAATGTTCTACTTTGGAGGAGGCAGGGCTTGTTAAGCACTAGGAAACTAAACTTATACAGCAAGGCACTCAAAATTAAATGGCTATGGAGATGCTCCCATGAACCCCAAGTTTACTAGAAGGTATTATCAAAGTGAATATGGTGAAGATAACAGGTGGATCTCAAAGAAAGTGCACTCGTCTTATGGATAGAGTTTGTGGAGATTTATAAGAACACTTAGGCCACTAGCGAGGGATCACTCTATTATCAGGATGTAAAATGGGTGCAAAACGTCTTTTTGGGAGGATAGCTGGTTGGGTAATACTTGCCTCAAAGAACATTTTCCTGGCATTCATGCCATGGACAACAGAAGATAGTAAAAGAAACACGGTCTCCTCAAGTATGGAATATACATGGAATATATAGTTCAGAAGGAATCTAAATGATTGGGAAGTGGCTACATAAGTAGAATTTTACAAGCAGTTAGATGAGTACAAATGGAAACACAATATGGTGGCAACAAGACTCTTTAGGGTATACCTTTTAAGGTTGCATATTTTACCTGGTTATTAGCTAAGAAAGCAGTTATGAAAGACAACCTTAGTAGGAGAGGTTTATCCAAAGAAGCTGAGACAGTCAGCATCTATTCCTAAATGCAGGACAGCAGACATGCTATGGAAGATCTCCATTAGTCTCATAGCATTACCCGGACAATGCCAAGAAAAATAATTGAAGTCTTGTTATATATATATAGAGAGAGAGAGAGAGAGCGGGGGGCTTATCCCAACTTGTATATGATGGACAATTTGGAAAGAGGAATTCCAGATGTTTTTGTGAGAAATATAGGAGAAGAATATTATTGAATTGTTGTTGTTTACATTAGTACATTGAGACCCTATTTATAGACCCTAGAATACAATCCTTTATCAAGTAGGATACTATTTAGTATTTCTATTTCTATTCGTATTCCTGTTCTAATAGGATTGTATAAACTTATTCTTATTCTAATAGGATTGTATAAACCTATTCCTATTCTAATAGAATTGTATAAACCTATTCCTACACTCCCCCTCAAGCTAGTGCATACAATTCATGTACCTAGCTTGCTACAAATGTAATTAACACGAGGACCGATGAGGGGCTTGGTGAGATATTTGCAAGTTGATCACTCGACTTCACAAATTTGACAATCAATCTCAATGGGCTTGGTCTTCTCATGAAATATTGATTTTGATGCATAATGTTGATAAAACAGAGAGTGATAAAATTACAGTGTTGAACTTCCCAAACCAAGCTTGCAAAGACTGTTTCAGACCATAGAGTGACTTACGTAATCAACATACAAGGCTACTAAACTCCCCCTGAGCAACAAAATTAGGTGGTTGCTCCATATAGACTTCTTCAAAATGCAACAGTCGCCGAAAGTGCTCAAAATCCAGTATAAAGTGTATGGATCATGTTGGAATCAATAGACGTGTCAATATTTAAAAAGAAGGTCACCGAAAAACTAGCCGGAACATGCTCATATGCCGGAGTATTAGATTTGATGGATAAAAGTGGTTACAATCTAAGAAATAAAATTATATGGGTAGGGTCGGAATGATGTCACGACCCAACTAGAAAATAGAAATTATACAGGATAGTTCGAATTGATGGAACGACCCCCATTGAAAAAGAGAAATAATATGGGTAGGGTCGGAATGATGGCACGACCCAGCTGAAAAAGTAAAATTTATACGGGTAGGGTTGGAATGATGGCACAACCCTACGCAAATCAGATTTGAGGAGTCACCGGAAAGACGAATGGAACTATGCAAATCAAATATGAGGAGTCACTAAAAAGACACATGATGCTATGCAACTCAGATATGAGAAAATAGTTCGAAAAAAAATCCACGGTACTACACAAATTAAATATGAAAAGTAGTCCGAAAAGATGCACGGTGCTACACAAATAAGATATGCAAAAAAAAGGTAGTCACCGGAAGGATGTCACGGTGCTACACAAATTATATATGAAAAAGTAGTCACTGGAATGATGACACAGAGCTACACAAAAAAGTAGACACCAGAATGATGGCACGGTGCTACAAAAATTAAATATGAAAAAGTAGTCACCGGAATGATAGCACGGTGCTACACAAATTAGATATAAGAAAATAGTCACCGGAATGATGGCACGGTGTTACACAAATTAGATGTGAGAAAATAGTCACCAGATAGATACACGGTGACCCAATTTTTGCTAACATAATCATTGGCCAGACGGGCAGCATCTATGGGTGCCACCCGCCGGCAGCGGAAGCTCTTTAATTCTCTACCAAGTTCGTAGAGGCTCTGATACCATGTGAGAAATATAGGAGAAGAATATTATTGAATTGTTGTTGTTTACATTATTACATTGAGACCCTATTTATAGACCCTAGAATACAATCCTTTACCAAGTAGGATACTATTTAGTATTCCTATTTCTATTTCTATTCGTATTCCTGTTCTAATAGGATTGTATAAACTTATTCCTATTCTAATAGGATTGTATAAACCTATTCCTATTCTAATAGAATTGTATAAACCTATTCCTATTCTAACAGTTTTGAAGATAGTTGCAACTCAGTACAGACTACAGAGGACCAAGTAGAACTGCAATAACCTTTTCGGTTTTGGTGTAAACAGAACTACATAGAAGACACTGCTTCAATCATTAATACCCTAGGTTTGTGTTCCTTTTTCCCCATTGGAAATATGGTTTCAGCACAACCTGTGTGTTTTTTTTGCTTAAATATACAAAACAGGTACTTTCTCAAGAAACAGAAGACATCACATACTAGAATTAAAAAAAGATGATTGAAATGGAAGGGTATTACAGGTGTACTAAGCAATAGTGGAGATTGAAAGAGAATAACAATACAGAATAGTATCCACCTAATCTAACCTAGAGCATTATAGCATTTTTATAATTCACATTATCACATATTCTTAATACTGATTGCAAAGATTGATATCATATCTCCATATTCTCAAACTTAATTCTTAACGAATAAGATGCTAGCCTACTTGAAAACCTCTCATTTTCTTTTTTTGAAATTGGTAACTTTTTATATTCCTCAGCATTAAGGGCTATGCTGGCCACCTCCAAAAAAAAAAAAAAAAACTGTTACAACAAAAGGAAAAGACTAAAAAGAAATACTTACAGAGATCCTATAAAGTCCACTAATTGGATCTCCTCTTCTATATCCTGTTCTTTACACCAAAAACCTAAAGTAGTAATTACTTTCCATTTGATCTTCTGTATTGTACACTCCTTTCCTTCAAAAATTCTCTGATTCCTTTCTTTCCATATAATCCACCATATACATGCTGGAACTGTTCTCCACCATCTTTTCTGACTTTTGCTGCCTCCCCTTTTGATCCAGCAGCTAAGAAGGTCAGAGGTGTGTTCAGGCATAGTCCAATATTCATTGGCTATGCTTGTAAACAGAGCCCACACCTGAGCAGTTACCTTACAGTGCATGAATAAGTGTTTGTTAGTCTCCAGAGCTTCTTTACAAAGGAGGCATCTGGATACTATGTTGATGCCCCTCTTCTGCATTGCCTCATGAGTCAAACATTTTTTCCTAGCAACCAACCAAGTGAAACACTTCACCTTGGCAGGAGCCACACTTTTCCATATTGTGTTCCAAGGTCCAATGGATCTTCCTGCACATCTTTTAAGTCCCCAGTTGTATAATCTATTCACTGAAAATACCCCATCTTTGTGATGTCCCCATGCTAATCTGTCTGGCTCTAGAGTAGTACCTGGGAATCCACCAATCAAGCCCAAACACTCCACCATTCCATCAATCTCCCAGTCATTTAGCAGTCTTCTAAATATTATATTCCAACCTTGTGGTGACCACATCTCCTCTATCTTGCTGTTGGTATTTGTGCATATTGAGAAAAGAATAGGGAACAAGTCCCTCAAAATCCCATTTCCACACCAATCATCTAGCCAGAACTTTGTTTTGTCTCCTCTACCCACCACAATTTTTGAGTTGTTGTTTAGACTCTCCCAAAGGTTTCTGATGGTCATCCACACCCCAACTCCATAAGTTTCATTAACTTCACTAGTGCACCACAAATCCTCTTGCCCATATTTGTGGTTTATTATCTCTTTCCATAGAGCCTGCTCCTCCTGATTATATCTCCACAACCATTTTGAGAGGAGGCTCATGTTATGAACTTTTAAATTTCTCACTCCCAGCCCCCCATTTTCCTTGCTTTGTTGTACTACAGGCCATTTCACCAGGTTGAACCCCTTTTCTATCTTGTTCCCTTGCCATAAGAAGTTCCTTCTGAGTGCATCTAAAACCTTCACTATGCTACTAGGAATAGGAAAAAGGGACATCACATAAGTGGGTAAAGAATCCAGAACTGAGTTAATTAATGTAACTCTACCTCCCAGAGATAGGTATTGAGATTTCCATATAGCCAATTTCTTCTCTGTTTTCTCAATAATGCCATCCCAAATTTTTCCTGCTTTGTGCTCAGAACCCAAAGGCATCCCAAACCTCTCATTTTCACCATTCGCTCATCGATCATCATACAGTTATGAATCAAATTTAGACTGCTACAGATGTAAATGTATAGAAACTTAACTATTCAAGGTGAAAAGAAACTGAGATTAAGGGTGTGTTTGGTATGAAGGAAAATGTTTTCCTAGAAAATGTTTTCCTTGGAAAACAAGTTGATAGGGGTGAAAAAAATGAAAATTTGACATTGAAAATATTTTTGAAAAACAAACTTAAAATTTTTTTTTGGGGGTGGGGGGGCTGGTAGGGGGTGGGTGGGTGGGGGTCAAGGGTAGGGGTGAAAAAATGAAATTTTGAAATTGAAAATATTTTTTAAAAAACAAACTTGAAATTTTTTATTTTTTTTGGGAAGGGGGGTGGGGGCTGGTAGGGGGTGGGAGGGTGGGTGGGGGTTCTAGGGGTGAAAAAATGAAATTTTGAAATTGAAAATATTTTTTAAAAACAAACTTAAATTTTTTGTGGGTGATCGAGGATTGGGATGAAAAAATAAAAATTTGAGGATGAAAATATTTTTTAAAAACAAAATTTTTTTCTTTTTGAAGGGGGTTGGGGGGCTGGTAGGGGTCGAGGGTTGGGGTGAAAAAATGAAATTTTGAATTTGTAAATATTTTTTAAAAACAAACTCAATTATTATTTTTTTGGGGGGGGTGATCGAGGATCGAGATGAAAAAATAAAAATTTGAATTGAAAATATATTTTTTTTGGGAGGGGGTGGGGGTAGAAGTGAGTGTGGGGTAAAAATATTGAATTTAAAAACAAGCTTTAAAATTATTATCTTTTTGCGAGGGGGGGTGACCGGAGAGGGGGGTGGGTGATCGAGGATCGGGATGAAAAAATAAAAATTTGAAGTTGAATTTTTTTTTTTTGGGAGGGGGTGGGGTAGGAGTGAGTGTGGGGTAAAAAAATTGAATTTAAAAACAAGCTTTAAAATTATTATCTTTTTGCGCGGGGGGGGGGGGGGGGGGTGGTTTGAGGGTAGGGACAAAATAAATTGATTTTTTCAACAAAAAAATAATTGTAATTTGAAGTTGGAAGAGAGTTTTGGAAAATGTTTTCCTTAAGTTTAGAAGGGAAGTCATTTTCCTTAAATTTGAGGAAAATGAGTTGATTTGAAAAACATTTTCCAAAACATTTAGCCCAACCAAACATGAGAAAATTGGAAAGCATTTTCCGGAAAATGTTTTCCTTCATACCAAACACACCCTAAGATGCCATCATGCACCAGAAGTCATGAAGTCTCTCCAATTTTTCATATCCCAGTTGAAGGGAAGGTACAAAGCGATGAAGATAACATAAATGATATTACGGCTAAGAGACTAGATATCTCAGTAAAAGAACTTTATTATTGACAAGACAAGTCAAATAAGTAATTCAAAAGGATAGCCAGTAAGTAGAACATAACATCCTACCTGTCAACAACCAAAGAAGTTGCACGTCCTGATGCGAAAGATGTGAGAACCTAGCATTAACAGTACCATGAGAAAATTAACAACTAGAGTGGAATGATCTTGTAACGTTAAGAAGCTACAGCTTTTTTTTATTATTTTTTCTTTATTCTTGAATCAAAAGTGAAAGTTCCATTACTAAATAGCACAAAGAAGGTTATGCTTAAGACGCTACAAATTAAAGATTCAAAGTGGGTAAAGGCACTTACAGCATTTTTGGCCAAAAACAATGCTGGAACTTGGTATTTTTCAAACATTATCTCTGCAGCCCTGTTAAATAGATGATCATCAGTCCACTGTAATTTTCATTTTGCATACAGATGACATAATAGTGCAAGCACCAGACTGCCTTTCCTCTTTTCTTTGGTTCATGATGGACAATTTCTTTCACAGTAGACACTTCTTGTTAAGGAAAGTAATTCCTTGGACTCGACTGATTCTAGAAGGTATTACAAATTAAACAAGGTAAGGCTTTTATATTGACACTTGGGAACCATTCTGTGGCAAACGAACAGTTGATCAGTAAATCAGTCAGTAGTTGACAATCCTAACTTAGCAGGCCACCACAAATATGAATTCCAGGCAAGGCCCTAATAAGTGACATCTTATGTTTGAGAGAAATCCACCACCTATGAGGACCACAATGACCTTATAAAAAAAGTCAAGGTGGATGGACATAAATTTGATGGAAACTTGACCTAGTTTGTTCTTTAATACGAAAGATAGCTTAGAGAACTATTTTGAGAGGTCCAAATTGCTCAAGCATGGGCACAAGAATCGCTCTAGTCAAAAGAGATTTTTTTTTTTTGATAAAGGTAACATTTGTATATCAATCATCAGCTCAAAGCTGGTATCCAAAATTTACATCATATCGTCCCTCCACACATGTGTGTCGGGCATAAACAGAAGATAAAGAAAAGAAAAGAAGAAAAATGAGAAGCTATCCCTAGATCCTCCTTTCATCTTTATAAGGACCCTAGAATGTCTACAATAGCCACAGGGTCATCTATATACTCTGAACTACACCAATAGCAAAAAGTGATAATGCAGTTCATTTTAATCTTGTGCAGAGGGCTGCTCTTGTTATCAAAATTCCTAGAATTCCTTTCTTTCCATATGGTCCACCAAAAAACAGCTGGGACAATTTTCCATCTACTCTTGTCTGTGCTGCCACTGCCCTCCATATTCCAGCTTTCTAGAGCCTGTCCTGTTCTCCCTAGAACAGTCCAACTTATACCTCTGAAGCTAGTAAACAATTTCCACAGCTGGCCAGCCACTTTACAATGTAAGAACAGATGATTAATTGTCTCTGCAACCTGCTCACAAAAACAGCATCTTGGCAACATTTGTATTCCCCTCTTCATAAGATTCTCTTGTGTAAGTACAGCCTCTAAAAACTACCACTTTATATGGTATTTTAACCTTCCATATAAGCTTCCAAGGCAGAAAGTTAACTTGGGATCCCATCTGATTCATAATTCTATATGCAGAACTAACAGTGAATAAACCTTTATTATGACATTTCCATTTAAGAGTGTCTTCTCCATCCTTGAATCCTAAGAACTGATCAAGTGTTCCATAAAATTCAGCCAATCTTTCCACCTCCCAGTCTAGCATCAGTCTTCTGTGGGTAAGGTTCCATCCATGTTCAGACCAAACTTCATAAAGAGTCGACTCTTGTTGTTGATTCAGGTGATGAATATCCGGGAACAAGCGTTTGAGGTTTCCATTCCCTAACCAGTTATCTTCCCAAAACCTGATCTTCCTCCCATTGTTCACATTACATTCAGTTTTTGCATAGAAACCATGCCATAAGTTTCTAATTGATCTCCACAAACTGGTTCCATATGTGGATGTCACTTTCTTAGTCTTCCAGGGTCCTTCCTTCCCATATTTGGCCTGGATCACCCTACCCCACAAAGATTGATCTTCTAAAGGAAATCTCCACAACCACTTCATGAGAAGACTTTTGTTCTGCTTTCTAATATTTTTGATTGCCAGTCCTCCCTGCTTCTTGGATAGTAGCAGTGTCTTCCATTCGACTAGGTGGAAACCTTTATATTCCTTCTCACCGTGCCACAAAAAATTCCTTCTCAGAGCATCAATTCTTTCTTCCACCTTTGCTGGAAGGGGAAAAACTGACATTAAGTAAGTTGGTAATGCATCCAGGACTGAGTTAATCAGCACTAATCTACCACCTCTTGATAAATATTGAGACTTCCACCTAGACAATCTTTTCTCACATCTTTCCACTACTCCATTCCATATCTCTTTGGATTTGCTATTGGCACCTAAAGGCATACCCAAGTATGTTGCTGGTAACTGCCCTATTTCTCCACCCAGAAGATCCCCCAGATTTTGTATTCTGGGCACATCATTGATTGGAAAGATCTGACTCTTTCTCCAATTAATGTGCAACCCTGATACCGACTCAAATAGTATGAGAACTATCCTCAGAATTTTTAGTTGGCTGTCTTCTGCATCACAAAAAATCAAAGTGTCATCTGCATATTGCAGATGGGTGATTTCCAATCTAGTATTCATCTCCTTGACCACATTAAAACCCCTTATCCAATCATTCCTATGTGTTGTTTTAATCATACTGTTCAGGCCTTCCATGACTAGTAAAAATAAGAAAGGTGAGAGTGGATCACCTTGTCTCAAGCCTCTGCTTGCCGGAAAGAAACCTTCAGGAGAACCATTTATTAGTATTGAGAACTTGACAGTGCTAATGCAGAACCTTATCCATCTTATCCACTTCCTCCCAAAACCCATACTATGTAGAATTCCAAGCAAATACTCCCAGTTAACATGGTCATATGCCTTCTCTATGTCCAGTTTACACATTATGCCTGGGATTTTATCCTTCACTCTTGAGTCAAGACATTCATTTGCAATGAGAACAGCATCAGTGATCTGTCTTCCTTTCAGAAAGGCCATTTGTTGAGTGTCAACCAGCTTTGGCATCTTCATTTGCAATGAGAACAGCATCAGTGATCTGTCTTCCTTTCAGAAAGGCCATTTGTTGAGTGTCAACCAGCTTTGGCATCACCTTCTTTTGCCTTTCTGTAAGAATTTTGGAGATTAGTTTGTAGACACTTCCAATCAGACTGATTGGCCTAAAATCTCTCAATTCTTTGGCTCCATTCTTCTTTGGAATGAGTGCAATGTAAGTTGCATTAAGGCTCTTTTCAAAAACTTCCTGAGAATGGAACTTCCGGATAGTAGCCATCACATCCCCCTTTAGAATCTCCCAACACTTCACAAAGAAGCCCATAGTATACCCATCTGGACCCGGTGCCTTGTCTATAGCACATGCCTTGAGCCCTTTCAGGACCTCATCTTCTTCAAAAGGTTTCTGTAAATCTTGTTGCTCCTCCCTGTTGATTACTGGACAGGGGTACATGTTGTAAGCAGGTCTCCAATTTTCAGTCTCACAGTACAACTTTCTATAAAATAAAACCACCTCCCTCTTGATATCTGTTGCTTCTGTTAGTTCATCACCTTCCACCACCAATTTGTCAATGTGATTGGTTCTTTTGTGAGCATTTGCAATCCTCTGAAAGAATTTAGTGTTCTTGTCCCCTTGCTTAATCCACAATGTCCTTGATCTTTGCCTCCAAGCTATCTCTTCCTTTTTAGCATAGTCTTTAAACTCCTTAGTTAAACTTGCCTTTTGAATTACTTCAACATCAGACAGAGGTCTGTCCTGTTGAATATTGTCAAAAATCAGTGATTCTATTGAGCAACTCTTTTTTCTTCTTTTCCAGATTTCCGTAAGTGTTTGAGCTCCACTCTTTTAATTTGGTCTTCAAAGCTTTCAACTTAAAAGCTAGAATATAGTCTAGCCTTCCTTCAAACTCAAAAGATGTCCACCGCTCTTTGACTCTTTCATTAAAGCCTTCAGTCTCCAGCCACCATCCTTCAAATTTGAAGTAGGATTTGGAATAGATCCAATAACCACTTGCGAGTGCAACTGGTGAGTGATCTGAACATACTCTTGGCATCAATTCCTGCTTTACATTGTTGAACTTTCCCCCCCATTCAGTAGAGTACATTATTCTGTCAATTCTGGAACCATATTCTGCATTGTTCCCCCCCGTCCATGTGTAATTACCTCCCTCAAGTTGAGGATCAATCAACTCCATATCCTCAATCATATCAGAAAATTCCGACATATAAATGGAGTTCCTTGAACAGTTCTTCTTCTCTGAAGCATACCTTACAATATTAAAGTCACCCCCTAGGATCCAGGGTCCAGAAAATAAACCCCTAACAGCCCCAATTTCCCACCATACTTCTTGTCTTTCAAGATTGCAGTTAGGTGCATACACCCCTGTCATATGCCATTCAAAATCACAATTTCTTGATTTGAATCCACAAGTTAGGCACCAATTTCCACAACTTTCCCCTCCCAATGTTTACTGTCCCAAAGCATTAGTATCCCCCCTCTAGTGCCACTAGCCTCCAATTGGGCGTATTTAACTCCCCTGCTTCCCCATACCTGTCTAATTGCCTCCCCATTTTCACCTTCTAGCTTTGTTTCCTGCAAACATATGACATCTGCCTTCCATTCCTGAAACACACTGTTGATAATTCTCCTCTTATCTCTGTAATTTAATCCCCTCACATTCCATGATATTATCTTCACATTCTTCATATATTTATAGCTTTTCCTTTCCCCCTGGTTCTCGAACTGCTTGTAAAATCTCTCTTTTGATGAACTGCTTGTAAAATCTCTCTTTTGTGGACTCTTCTCACTCTATTTCTGTTTTATTCTACTCTCACTGTTCTTCTCTCCTCTCTTTTCTCATATTTTCCCCTTATCTTTCACCCTACCCAATTTCTAGTGCTACATCACTGGCATCGGAGCTCTAGGTCCTTATTCATCACAAATAGCTGCACTTTTAGCATTCATCAACTATAAAAGTACCGATCACCTTATTACTTAGTTTAATTAGATATATACTGTTTTCACATCAAACTAACAAACTTTTGGTGTTCATGACTTCTTCTTTTTTGGTTTCCCACCCGGTCTCCGCCTCTCCGGTACCCACATTGGGGCCCGACTAAATTCGAATTTGCGTCGGGAAGTCCCACATTGGGGGGGTAAAGTGCTCCCTAACAAAGCCGACTCCGTACCCAAGGGGACTCGAACCCGAGACCTCTTGATTAAGGATGAAGGAGTACTTACCAGTCCACCACACCCTTGTTGGTTTGTTAATGGCTTTTATATGAAAGGACGCTGTTAGAATGTTCATACTTCTCCCCTTTGAAATTGAAAAGGCATATGGGCCTACAGGATTGATAAATATGTAAACTTTACTTAAGGATGTGCTTTCATCTTATATTTTTCTCGTCCTCCTAAAAAAATTGTGTTCTCCTATAAATTAACATAAGATGCAAAATAGGCAGAAAAAGGCGGCATATTCAGGAATAATATAGCTTGAAATCATGTACCCAATTGTTATACAATGCCCAAAAGATAAATGACATGATTTAATGTGAAGTAATAAGACTGCTAAAAGACAGATTGCATTACTCACTTTTCCCTCTGCTGCTGAGTGTTTGAACAAGGCTCTGCAAGTAGCATTGGATGCTCCTTTGGATCGATCAGTAAGCATTCCCTGTAAGTGAATGTAAGAAGCAGAAAAAAAAGGTCTTTTTCAATAGCCTAGAGCAGCATCAACTTAACCAAATGACAGGAAAAAGAAAAAAAACTAACACAAGGAAAGCATATAAGGAAGACTTTTTTTCTCCCTTTCTTCAAATGAATCAGTAATACCACATCTCTTCACAGGAATTTCAGTGATCAAAGAAGTCAAAAAGAGAGATGGAGATTGTCCCAGCATGCAGTTGGTACACAGAGGAATCAGAGATGTTTTGAAGACAAACGAAGTACTATCCAGAAGTTGAAGATCAACCGTTTAGACCTTCATAATTTTGGTGTAAACAAGAATACATAGAGGAATCAGAGTCAATTTTTGATGTTCTAGATTACATGTAGGAAGGCTTAGATCTAGGAACTCTAACTATAACTCACACTGTTTTGGGTGACTTCACAGCTTGTGTGGTCTACCTTTATATAATAACTTGTTACAATTCTCCGAAAAAGAACATTGTAGTCTGATCTTCAAAAATAGAGTGCAAGCAGTATGTAGCATAATTGTGTTTCCTTTTTAGGATGAATCACTAATATGACATTATTTACATTAATATAAGAGCAATCGCGCAAAGACGACATGGCTACAAATCTAGATGCAATGGGTAGATATGCAAGTGTCTGACACAAGTAAAAGAGGTTCTAGAGTGTAGGTTTCAACAAGACTCAAGCTTATTCCCAACTAGTAGATACCACCTATACCGATCTATATTTAAAACATAATATATAAAACAATTAATAATTTCTAACATAGAAAAGTAACTCACTCTTAAGATAAATTTTCGCTAAAATCCATTTTTGGTTAATTAATAAGTTTATGTTAAATATTTTGTTCTGTCAAATGATCCAAAGTTAACACAATTTATTTATTTTATAACTGAGAAATCCCCAAGGACCAGCAGAAACACAGTTCAAAACTCAATGAATAATGGCCTGCCCCTCTACCCATCTCCAAGTTAGTCAATTAATCTTGTTCGTTTTTTTTATTTTGAGAATTCCCAATTAATCTTGTTCTTATAGATCTTGTCCTTAAATATATAATGAACTATCTTTGTGGTCCAATTAAATCACAATATTTTTGCCTGGGCACTTCTCTTAAAACCAAGCCCACCAATAATTGGCAAAGATACCCAAAGGCATTTCCTCCTTTGAGTTCAGTGATGGCTTCCCCAGAAGGTAGTCCTAGTGTGTCAGTCCCCTGTTTTAGTTGAATGGTGGTTTAAATGCCTAAAACTTTAGATCTTTTTGTCCTACTTCGAAGAAGAAGAAAAATTACAGAGACACATCGTGAAGCTCATCGAATTACTGTTCCTTGTTGTCACATCTATTCCTTCTGTCTTCTTCCTCTTCTCCTTTGTGCTTCATCTCTGTCTTCTTCAGTTCTCTATTCACCTTTCCTTGGTCAAATTATCCACCAAATGTTGATAAGATCTGGTACGAACCTCACACCTGTACCAGTGTCATGTTCGAATCACCAACCCAGCAGTAATCGAAGGGTTCGAACAACATTTTATGCAAGAGGACACTGCAGTAATCCACGTAGTAAAACCAAAACGAAGAATGCCCAATATTGGCTAATGGTGGTCTGGTGGCATTAGAAATACTTGCTCAACACAACCCTGCAACAAACTCTACCATGTCCTTGATGCTGTCAATTGCTTAAAACTACCTTTCAGCTATCGGGGAAATTGTGAAATAGACCAATATCAACTAACCCAAATGAGATTAAAAAGAAAATCGTTTAGATTTTGTCTGCCTCACACAATATTCTAAAATATGTTTCACAGGACACGGCAATCAGAGAGCATGTGTGCAGACTGCCAGGGCAACAAGATCAGGAACATATCACCACCTTAAGATGTTAAGATCCATCAGTGAGGGTTTCTAAGGTACTTCCATACTAAGAGAGGAGGACAAGACACATATAGAACAACTATGCAACATAAGCAGAGCAAAGCATATCCCCACTTACCTGAGCTGAAAATATGTAGAGTAACATTCTTCCCATGACACAACAAAAAGTTAATGGAAGAAGGAAATTGTTTCAACATATGAACAAAAGGAAGGACCAATTACCTAAAAGCATGGTCCCATATGTTTTCTACAATATCCCAGTCCACAACCGTCCCATCCCTGATGGGTGATATCACCTGACATGACAATCCAACATATTAGATAACAATGATAAGGAAATGGCATCTCAAGATGGTACTAGATAAATTTGTAAAACTGACCTCCATGTGATCACGGCGAAATCCCAAGGCTTGAGATCCCACATACAATTTCCGCTTACCCTTTGATTTAAGGTCAGGAGCAGATCCAGAATTATCCTCCGGATTATCAGGATTATCAACTTCCATTTCATCAACCGATCCAACAGCCTTTTAAAAGATCATAAAATCAAAGACAACTTACACAAACATACATGTAGGTGACTAGTTAAAAAAAAGCAAAATATGAGTATACATGAAGGAATAGCATAGTGATATAGACATTCACAATCAAGGCAGGTTAGTTTGTGAGCAGCTGACTTGCTAATGATATTTTAAGAATTCACATGTCAACCATAATGAGGAAAGGATTTGAACTAATCCTGAGAAGACGAGAGATACTAGATATTTGATTAATCTAACAAGGAGAATAACCGGAGAGATCTTGCTAATTATCTCAGCAGCTATCTTTCTTCTTCTTCTTTTGTGATAAACGCGGCAGCTATCTTATGTATATAATTCCAGGGAAACTTTTCGCTGCATCAGCTATAAATTTTATTGTTCAAGACTAAGTAGGAAATTGGGGACTTCTATCTTCTTTCTTCTTCTTTTTTTGGGGTAACGGTGGTGTCCTTACCATCTTCAAAATTAATCTAACGGTTACTTAATACCTTCCACCAACACATATACGTGATAATTCTATCACCAAGGTTTGATGGTATCATCCACCTTTTTTGCCTCTACTGGGATTTGAACCCTGGTCTCTCATGGTCCATTCTAACTTTTGAACCCTGGTCTCTCATGGTCCATTCTAACTTCACTAACCGCAGACCACATCCTTCAGTGCAATCAAGGACTTCCATCGTTGAACCAACATTCTACAGCACCAGGTACAAGCAATATAATAAATACAATCCATTTCTGAAAGTGAAACATGGAAATGGTTGCACAAATATGTGGGAGCATCATTTAAATTTTCTGGTTCTGAGATGAGTAAGAGAAGTAATTCTTTTTCCCTTTTCTTTTTTTTACAAGTATGGAAGAGAAGTATATTTCTGTAGTCATTCGACTGCACCTTTAGCTTTCTTGGATGTTAGAGCTGCAAGACCTTGCAGAACAATCTTTAACAATTGTGGTTTCATGGTAATAACATACAGTTGGAAATTAAAAGTAATAAAAGACTCCATGTAAATCCATCACAGGAAACCAATTCCCAAATCATATCGAACAGCAACTCAACCTGGAAAAAGTAAGAGGCACAATTGTTTGAAGACAGTGCTCAAGGACCTGACAAAGAGCTTACAGCTACTGTAACACTCCCTCTGCCCCATATTAGTTGATCACTTTTCATTTTGCACAGTACTTAAGAAATCATAAATAAAAAGATAATTTTACTAATTCACCCCTTAAAAAACTATTGGGAATTTTACAAACAAATGGGAACACTTTAAAAAGAATTAATTGCAAGGGTACTATAGAAAAAATTTAATTAATGATTTTTTTGATTTGGTAAGGTGGACAACTAATATGGGACAACTATTTTTAGTATAATAATCCACTAATATGAGACGGCAGGAGTAATTATTAAGCAATCCACCACATGGCCAGAATCTATGCACACAAAAGATGACCATCGCACACTAAAGAGGATTCTCAAACTCATGAGTCTAATAGTCCTCAAGTTTCCCCGCTATGTAGATGAGAATTCAATGTAAAGTTATCTATTTCCTCAAATTACACGCCAATGTTTTTTTATCAATTTTAACAGGAAAAATCTCCCAATTTCAGTTTCTTTATTGGTCTCATTGATGAGTTTCCCTTCAAACAATTTTAATTTGTTCAAGAAATAATTAAAAAAGAGCTGATGATGTATGATAAAAATCTTAAAATCCCCAATATAAAAGGAAAAAATTTTAGTGGCAGTATGCTGATGTTAAGGGTTAGGCCATTTCATCTAACCACACACCCTATACTGTTACTTCAATTGCATATTAAACTTCATAGAGGCTCAAGAATGCTGCCTATGACCAAAAGCTCTAAACTTCAGAGGTTTCGTCTTAAACAAAACCAAAACATCCAGTCATATTTCGTGTTACATAGACTGAGTGTAATAGTTTTTCACATTATCACTGCAGTTATAACAAGCTACTTATACTTTCTTTTCGAGGTCACTCGACTCGAATTAGCTATTAAAATGCTGGTGCTTGCGAAGTTAGACGCTTAAAACAGTTACTCCACAAAGGTTAGGCTGGGAACATGAAAATGTTAGTAAATTTGCAAGCTAACAAGGCTAAAAACGGTTTAACTTACCGATGGGAAAACGGCTTTGGGAGCATCTTCACCGGCGTAACCAGCTTTGCAAGTATGGCTACCCAAATCTATCACAATTGCTGATACTTCATCTGTACACAAACAAACAAACAAACAAAAAAACGCTGAATTCTTGTGCTTACAACATGAAAGCCCTAAACATCGACACTCAAAGAGAAACTGAGTAACTGATACTCACCACCACCGTACATGATTCGATTTCGGAGAGTGATTTAACTCTTTCTTCTTCGTGTTTTGCTGCTTCTCAGAAATTCTTCGCTACGAGGGCTTTTCTTGGGTTTTGAAGAAAACAAGCCGGTCGGGTCAGTTCAACCGGGTTGTGTCCGACAACATTCACTTTAGTGTGTTTTTTTGGTAAAGAGAAAAAAAATTATGAAAATAAATGTGATATTCTAAATTTAGAGTCTGTTTGGATTGGCTTAAAAAAATTAAAATAAATAGTCAAACTTAAATGACTTTTAAGTCAAAAAAATAAAAAGTAGGAATATTTACTTTTGGTTTTTAACTTACTAGTTTTATGGCACGTGTGTATCATAACATATACTATACAATGTTGTAAAATAGAAATATTACTAAATTAAAGTTTTTTAGTAAATAATTATAATTGAAAAAACATTAAACTAGTGCTTTTAAATTATTTATACGAATTGTCATAGAGTTAATTGATTTTAGAGACCAAAATGACCAGATATCATTGAAACATTTCAAAATACGTTCAAAATTTAAATATGGAAAAAGTGACGTTTCTTAGGTAGTATTGGTTTTTTTTTTACTTTACTCAATTTTGTAAACAAATTTACACAACAAAATAGGAAAAAAATATCAATATAAAAAAGGTCACCAATATCCTTTCCTCTTGAGGTTATGATCATAAATGATGGACACCTTTTAAGTACAATTTTTCTCTTAAATACTCATACTTGAAATTTAGTATATGCATGACACTAATAAAGATTATCCTAAATATTTTAATATTTTATCTTTATACGTAATATATCTTTTACAAAATATTATTACTCAATTAATATTTGAGTAAGGCTATCATAGAGATGTAATTTTACAACAAAAAAAAAAGTGTACTTCTATAGTGAATGGCAACACTGTTATAAGTAGAATGTTATAGAGACAAAAAATATAACATCAAAAATGAGTTCTAAAGAAAATTACGTAGTTACAGTGAAATGTTGTTATAACGAATGATGGTCAAATAGAGGTTTGAGTGTATGTCAAATATTTAGTTTTACCAAAAAAAAATTAGTTTGAGTAGCAAAATTTAATGTTAATATATGAACAACATCACATGACATCACATATAGTTTAAAAAAATCATTTCTTTGAGTTTCTACCTTATCTTTGTGGAATTGTAGTATTCTCCTTTTTTATGTTGCATACATATCATACAATTGTCGTCTAATGAAAGTATCTAGTATCTTATAGAAGTTGTACCATGATATAAAATAGAGTAAATGGTCAAAAGCCCCCTTAATCTATATCCGGATTTCCAACTACACACTTTAACTTTACGGGAGTCCTATCACCCACCTAAACTGTTTGAAACTGTAATAATTACACCCTTAAAAAGCCACAACCACATCTATATTGGCATGTGAATTTCACACGTTTGATAGGTGGAAATTGATTAATTTATTATTTTTTCAATTTTTTTATAATTCTTTTCCATTTTCTCCTATACTCTCCCAATTTCTTCAAATTCCTAAAGTAAATTCTTCCCCCAATTCTTTCAAATTCCTATTGAATTGTGAGGAACAAAGATAAATATTGATAGCAAAATCTTGTCAAGCAATATTCGAGTTTTGCTTGTCGGAAAACCTTGAAAAACAAACTAAAAGGATTCGTGCATGCACTGCTTCGTCGAGGTTTTGCTTGCTTCACCGGAGCTAGTTGGTCGGAGTAGTGCAGCCGCAAGGTTTTGTTGTTGTTGTTGTAGTCGACCTCGATGTGAGAACAAAGGTAGATTTTTATGGTGGTTGTCTTGGAACGAGAGAGAGACAAGAGCAGAGGGGGAGGGGAGAAAGGGTTTTTGTTGGTGGTTTGGGTTTTGCCGGAGGAGGCGGCAATGGTGGTTGTTGGTCGAGCAACAAAGAGAGGGGAGCAGAAATACAAACTAAAAAAAGTGAGCAAGGAAAGATGGAAGATGAATGAAAAGGCAGTAGCAATGCCATTAATGGAGGTCAACTAAGACGAGTACAATCCTCTTATTGATTGAAATTTGAGAATTGATAATTAAATGATCTATAAATAAAAAAAGAAAAAACATTCTCATTTGGGAGTTCACTTGAATTTGATGTAAACCCAATTTGATTTTTTTTTCAAATCTGATCCATATCTCTTTTTTTGGATGATATAAATACATGTCATTTATCTTCAATTGAATTGGTTGGTTCTTAAAAGTTTTTTACATGAAATCAACAATGGTGAACCTGGTGAAGGAACTTGGTTGCTATGGAGAAGAAAGACAACAAATAAGAAAAAAAATAAAACATATATTTTTAAAAGAGATATTAAAAAGAAAGTTTTAATATTTATTTTTTGTGTTCACTCTCCCGAAGAGAGTGGAATACACTCCTCTCAAAGAGAGTGTATTGAGTGAAATACACTCTCTTTGCCAACTAAGCATTCAGGGAGGTATTAATTTCAGTTTTAAACACTTTGGGGTGATAGAACTCCCGTAAAGTTAAAGTGTGTAGTTGAAAATTCAGATATAGATTAGAGGGGCTTTTGGCCATTTTCTCTATAAAATATTAAGCTTTTTAAAGTAAAAAAAATTAATAGATGAATGAAATTTAAAGTATTTTTTTTATATAGAATCTTTAATTTAATGTAAAATAATTTTATGATCAATCACTATTTTCTTATCTATTTTTACATAGCTAGCGCAAGAAGTGTATCTTGTGACTTAACATTTTCTTAGATTAAAATGAATACAAAATAACAGGAAATTCATACTTAAAATTTTTCATACTCAATATAAATATAAAAAAAGAAACAATATATGGACCAATTCATAACCAATGAAGAAAGAAGACGAAAATATACATTCATGCTATATTCACTCTAGTGTTCCATTTGATTGAAATCTCTTGCCACCAACACTTTACTTTCTCTGTTTATTTTTACTTACATATCTATTAAAAAATAATTATTATCATGGCTATATTAGCATATTACTAAGTTAAAGTGAAAAGCTATTTTTGAAATAGTGGACTTAACATCAAAACTAATAATTCAATGGACTACCTTGATGCCCGTTGTTTTAGCAAAATTAGGAAGAAACTCCTTCGTTTGAGGGTAAAAGAATAAAAAATGTAAAAAAGAAGAAGAAATATCTTACCCTAATCATGTGTCTTTTTCGTATTTGTTTTTTATTATTGTCTCTCCCCCAACTTGATCTATGAATTTTATTAGAAAAATAATCTACAATGTGTGTATTCGTCTCTGTTCACTCATTATGTGAACACTAATTATTAAATTCTCTCTCAAATTAAAACACAAAAGAAATTAATTAAAGAAACAAAAAAAAAATGAAAATCTCTGCGCACTATATATAGAAGTTTTCTGTGTGAAACAAAGTTCATAGCTAATTGGACATTTCTCTGTTCTCTTCTTTTCTTCTTTAATAGAAAGTCAATACCTAAATTTCAATGCTAAGAATTTCGGCGAAACATATCAATGGATTGGTGATAAATCATTTACAAAAAAATTAAATGATCTCAAATTGTCACAGATAAGAGATCCTCAAAAATTTATAAGGAGTGAATGACTATGATTTATGACCGAAGATACATGAAGGTTGAAATTGTTGTGACTACTCATAGGAAATTAATCTTTTTAATAAATAAAATATGTAGGTTAATTAAAAGGGTATTATTGTTCTAAAATTTTAAAATAATATTGAAGTATGTATGTGATGAAAATCGTAAGAGGAAAATGTGAGCGTGAATTGATGAATGATTTGCTACAAGTTGTTCACCAACTCTTTCTTATGTGGTACCTCGAATTTTATTGAATTTTGAACGTAATTAACTGTTGCAAATAACACTTGAGATTTTTAAGAAAAAGAAGAGTTGAAAACCTAAAAAAAAATCGTAGTTTAAAAGTGAGAGAAAATCCCTCTATTTATAGTTAACAAATAGTATGAATAGGTGCTAATTGTGCATTATAAAAAAAGTCACAATGCTTCAAAAAAGTCACTGTTCATCGGAAAAATCACAACTCATAAAAAAGGCACAACCATTTGACAAAGTCAAAATCCTTTGAAAAAATATAATCCTTCGGAAAAGTCAGAACTCATCGAAAATGTCACAACCCGTCAAGTCACAACTTATCGAAAAAGTCACAATCCTATAATGTGAAAAGGTATTTACTTTTAATATAATATAATTAATTAAATAACTAATTAAAATAAATTGTGTATTTTTAATTGGGGGTATTATAGTAATTCAACATTCCAGTTTGAGAGCTCATGTTTTTAAGGTAGTATAGATATAAATTTTAAGTCATTTTAAACTTATTTTAAGTTATTTTTACCATTGTCAAACACTTCCTAACTTATTTCAAGTCATTTTTTTACTTATTTTGTGTTATTTTTATAGTTGTCAAACATTTCCAGAAGTAAAAAATTGATTTAAAAGTAGGTTTGACCAACTTTTAAGTCAATTTAAACACCCTCGTAGTAGTGTTTGGATTGACTTATTTTAAGTAGTTTTTTTTTAAAAAAGTTTTTAAAGTGTTTGGAAAATACAAACATAATGTTTTAAAGTACTTTTTTAGGCTAGAGTGTATCAAAACAAAAGTTAAAAGTTGGGTATTTCCAATTTATGGCTTTTATCTTGTAAGTCCCTTAAAAAAGTCAATCCAAATTACTAGTCAGGTGTAGGGATAATTCCGTAAAATGGTTGTGGCCATCTTGTTTACAAGAAAATTGGCTCACCTTTGTTAAAATTACCCGAATTGGCCATTCAAATATATCGCTTCTTCTTCTTCATTCCACTTTAGCCATTAATGACTTATTCTTCCTTCATCCTCCTCCTCCTTCTTCCTTTTTTATTATATGTTGATTTCAACCTCTCTTCCTTCTTTTTCCATGATCAATCGGTCATTAAACGTTTTAAATTTTGATTTAAAAATTTGATGTATTGTAAATGTGAATCGGTTCAAGAAAATATATATCAAAAGACTCAAAACATTAAGAGAATTTCATATCTAAAATTTGGGATTGTTTAGAAGAGATTTTGAGTTGAAGATTGAATAGAAAGAAGTAAAATTACTTGCAATAAAATCGTTTTTGCTTCTGGAATCACCTCCTTCTTCATAATAAGTCTTCC